TAGTGAAACTGCTTTGGAAACCCAAGGAGGGGTCGCTATGAGTCGGGTCCAACTCGACGGCACATAACAACAACAACAAAAGCTTCCCTAATAGACCTCATAATCGTGAGTATTGTCTCTGAGTTCTGTGTGGCCATTGCAACAAATTATCAAACCCAGCAGAGAAGTAGAGAATGCCATGGGAGGGATGGTTGGTGTCGGAACTGGTAAGATGTTTGGAGGGTGGCAGCATGTCTGGCCTCTGCCTCATAGGAATCAGCTTTGAGTGGTTGATGTTGTGGATCTTCCTCACCTATCGTGAAGTTGGAGGAGGTCAGAGGACAATGATGCCCCATGCCTTTTTTTGCAAAGACCTAAATTTAAGAGTTAAAACTATTAGAGAAAATGTAAGGGAAAGTCTCCATGCCTTTGGATTTGTCAACGGTTTCTTAACTATGGCACCAAAATCACAGGCAACAAAGAAAAAAAAAAACAAAATAAATTGGACTTCTCTCAAATTTAAAAAATTTATTCATTAAAGGTCATTTTCAAGAGTGAAAAGACAAACAGAATGAGAGAAAATATTTGTAAATCACAAATCTGATAAGGGTTTGTTAGATATAATGGTTTATCTAGAATAGCTAAATACCAACAGCTTAACAACAAAAAGAAAAACAACTCAAGATGAAAATAGCCAAAAGACATAAATAGACATTTCTCTAAAGATATACAAATGGCCAATAAACACATGCAAAGATGCTTAATATTAGTTATTACCCACGGCCATTGAGTGGATTCTGCCTCACAATGACCCTATAGAACAAAGTAGGACTGCCCCTAGGGTTTCCAAAGCTGTAAATCTTTATGGAAGCATACTGCCTCATCTTTCTCATGTGGACCAATTGGTGGGTTTGAACCACTGACCTTCTGGTTAGCAGACAAATGCTTTAACCACTGTTCTGGTTCCCTAGTACCACTCTGATAAGAATATACCACAGATGAGATGGTCTTAACAAACAGGAGTTTATTCTTACAATTTGGAGGCTTTAAGTTCAAGTTCAAAGTGCCAGGCCCTAGGGGCTGGGTGAAAGCTCCTCAACCTTGGGGTCCAGCTTTGCCTCCTGCTCCTGGCCCACTGGAGCTAGAGGCATTTCTTTACTCAGACATCTGCTGGCTGCTGAGGCTGAGAAGCCCCAAGGTTGACAAGTAAAAAGGCACAGTCCTGATGTTACCAATCCACACGGCAGGCCATTAATTCAAGTCCATTGTAAGTCCCAAGGTCGGCAGAGCATGGCAGCCTGCTCAACAAAGACATGACTACATGCAGGGTCCAAGGGTGCCATAAGCTAGAGACCATTTCCAAAGGCTCCTTATATACAGGAAGCAGATCACATACCCAAAGGCAGCTACCCAGCTGCTTGTGGTAGATCCCACCATGGACTTGATTGCCAGTCTCCTCATGGGGATTAACTACCACCAGCTGCCCAGCCACTCAACCAGGCCCAGCCAAGTTGACACGCAAACCGAACTACCACAACCACTATGCCACCAAAGCTTCTTTCACTAGTCGTTGTTGTTGTTGTTATGTGCCGTCGAGTCAGCCCCGACTCATAGCGACCCCTCCTTGGGTTTCCGAGGCAGTATCACTACGGAAGTAGGATTGCCCAACCTTCCTTCCGAGGAGTGGCTGGGGGTTTGAACTGCCAGCCTTCTGGTTAGCAGTCAAGTGCTTTAGCCACTATGCTACCAGAGCTCACTAGTCATTAGGGAAATGCAAATCAAAATCACAATGAGATACTGCTTCACACCTACTATGATGGCTATAATAGTAAAACAAAAGAGTAGTAAGTGTTGGGGAGAATGTGGAGAAATTGGAACCCTCATTCATTGTTTGTGGGAATGTAAAATGATATATCCACTATGGAAAACGTCTTGGTGCTTCCTCCCAAGTAAATTCTACTCCTAGGTGTACAGCCGCAAGAATTGTAAGCAGGGACTCAAACAGGTAATTGTATGACAATGTTCACAGCAACATTACTCACAATAATCAGTGGAAACAATCCAAGTGCCCATCAGCAGATGAATGGATAAACAAAATGTGGTCAATGTAATATTACTCACCCATAAAAAGGAATGAAGTTCTGATACGTGGTACAGCATGGATGGACACTGAAAACATGATGCTACATGAAATAAGTCAGATACAAAAACACAAATATTCCATGATTTTACTTTTATGAAATTTATTATTTTTTCTTTAGGAAGACCACCAACAAGATGGAGTGACACAATGCTGCAACAATGGGCTCCAACATAGTAATGATTGTGAGGATGGTGCAGGACTGGGCACTATTTTATTCTGTTGTATGAGGGATGTTTATATGTTGGAACCAACTTGATGGTTTTTGTTGTTGTTGTTGTTATGTGCCATCGAGAAGTTGCCATTGGGTTGGGTCTGATTCATGGTGACCTCATGTATAACAGAACAAAACATTGCCCAGAACTTCACCATCTAAATGATCATCTGTGTATATGAGTCCATTGCTGCATCTATTGGGTAGTGCCTTCCAAAGGGGGGTGGGGGTGTGGGGGTGGGGCGGCTCATCCTCAGCACTTTATTGGATAATATTCTGATGTGATCCGTAATATTTTCATTGGCTAATTTTTGGAAGTAGATTGCCAGGTTTCTTGTCCCCTTGTCTGTCTTAGTCTGGAAACTCTTGAAACCTGTTCACCATAGTTGACTCTGAGGTATTTGAAATGCTGGTGGCATAGTTTCCAGCATCATAACACGAAAGCTATCATTGTACAACAGATAGAGAAGTGGTGGTATTGTTGCATGAGCCGCCAAGAGAAACATTAACGCAGAGCAAATGGTGCAAAGGAAGGGCTTTATTGCACCAGCACCTGGCTCAGTGGGGTCATAGCCAGAGACTGAGCCGCGAACAAAGGTTACACAGGCTTCATATGTTTTCTGGGTGGCGAGGCATAGGGTGATTTCTTACTTTTTAACAAACGCGAGCAGGCAGGTTTACAGAAGCAGAAAAGCACGGGAAAGAGGGAGGGAGTGCCTGCTGGGGAATTTGCACTAAGTTTCATTTCCTTGAAACTGGTGTGTCCAGCCTCAGTATGAGTAGCTAGAATAGGTAAATTCGGAGAGACAAATAGTAGATTACAGGTTACAGTGGGCCGGTGGGAGGGAGATTTTACGACAATTTAAAGAACTAATTTTGGAGTAAGAGTAAAGAAGAAAAACGCTAGGACTCGATCTCACGGGAGGCGAATCTTGCGGAGAAGCCTCAAGAAAGGACTACGCTTCCCATGGGGCTCTGCGCTGACAGTACCCGGCCTCCCGAGAAGCTTTTCGTGCTTTTCGCGCCAGCTTTGGCCTCCGCCAGAGAAAAACTCGCAACTGCCAGAAAATGGACAGCGGCGACGAAGAAGCCTCAGAGAAGTACCGCATCCACTTGCGCCCCGCCACGCTACGCGACGCTGTCCCCGCCACACTGCACTTACTGCCCTGCGAGGTCCTGGCTGACCGGCCCGCCCCCGTCGGACGCTTCTTCACCCCGGCCATCCGGCAACGGCCCGGCGGTGAGCGCTCGGGCCGGACTACTGCTCCCGGCGGCCCCTGCGCCCGCGTCGCCCGCTCCTGAGCGAGCTGCGCCGCGAGGGCGGCTGGGGGTCGTAGTCGGCTCCGAGGTGGCGGGAGGGCCCGACTGGGCGCCTCGCGCCATGTATCATCGCCAGACTCAGGTTTGGCGCCTGTCTCTCTTCCAGCACTCGAGGTGTCCTTTCGGGGGCGCATTCTGCGGGGCGAGGAGGTGGTGGTGCCGCCCAGCCTCGCGGGGTACGTGATGGTGATGGACGAGAAGGCAGAGGTGTTGGCAGGGTTAGGAAAGAAACAGGAATCGAGAGGTTCGGAGAAGGGCGACGGGGAAGAGGAGCCGCAGCCGCTGGAGCGTGATTTCGTGAGCACAGGGGGTCTGGGCCGGAAGGGGGTGCGGGCGGGAGCGGCGTCTCCTTGCTGAGCCGGGCCCCTTCCTCAGGACCGCTTTATCCGGGCCACTGCCAGTTTCGCCCGCTTCCACTTGTGGGGCCTGGAGACCGTTCCCGGCCCGGACGCCAAAGTGCGCGGGGCCTTGACCTGGCCCAGCCTGGCCGCAGCGGTGAGTAGCGGATGGGCCCCCCTCCTTCCAGGCCTCTGAGGTCCCCTCCGACTTTAAAAGTTCGATTTGGGGTTGTCGAGACCTTTGGGGCTGGGCCACCGCAGTGGGGCAGGGTTAGAGTGGGCCTAGGGCTGCCACCCCTTTTCTCTGGCTGGCTGGCAGGGGCGGTAGTTCCGAGCAGCTGGGCCTGCCCTGCGCGCAGTGCCCTGCGACAACGTCTCTGCCATGCAACTCCAGCTGACTCTCGCTCCTGTTGCAGATTCACACGCAGGTGCCCGAGGACTGAGCACCAGAGCTTGAGACTTAAAGCCACTGATCCCTTCACCCCAATAAATGAGCTCTTCAACAGCACCTGTGAGTCTGTGAGCCCCTGAGCCCCCATGTCACTCCCCGAGGACAAGAACCTTCTGGGTCTCTGAGCCATAGAAACAATTTATTGCCGGGGTGATGGGGGCAAGAGAAGCCAGCGTTCTGCAGCCAGAAGCCACGCAGCCCAACTCCTACTTTACAAAAGAAATCCTTACACCCACGCCCCCTGCAGAACGCCCCCAGCCCACCCCTCACTGTACACAGCTGCCGGGCTCCCTCAGTCCCTGGTTCGGAGCAGGCCTGGGACTGCAGTTGGCTGACTCTGGAGGGGACCTGAGCCCTGAGTGGCTCCTGCCAGGCCTGTCCTGGCAGAGCAGTCTTCAGCTCTGTCGGCCTCGGTGGCAGCAGGCTGGGCTGTCAGCCACAGTTCTGCCTGCTGTGTGGACACCACCACGGGCACTGTCTTGTCACCATTTTCCCCTCTTGCTCCAGTCCTTGGGAGTGAAGTGCAGACACTTGGAGTCGATCCGAAGCAACCGCTTGAGCATAGCCCGTTCGTGCCCGTCGACAATGTCCTCTGACAGCGTGAGGATGTATTGGCCCTGGGTGGGGGGAGGGGCGGCAGGTCAGCCCCTTGCTTGGAGCTGTACCCCCTCCCTGGGCTGGTCTACCCTGCCTCCCCCCTACCTTGTAGTAATTGATGAGGTTGAGGTACTGCAGGGTGGAGATGACATCCTCCTTCTTGATGCTGGTGATCTCGCTGATCTCACTGCGGGAGGGCAGAGATCAAGTCCCTGAGGGCCTTCCCCTCTGCCCAGGACCCCAGGAGGGAGTGCACAAGCCAGGGGAAAGGGATCATGCCATGCCCCCCGGGTAGACCTGGAGCCAGGCTCACTTGATGGTGATCTGCGGCCTCTCCCCACTCTCTGACTTCAGCCCCATCAGGATCTCCAAGATGGTCTGGGACCAGTAGCTTCGATAGGACAGGAGGCCAAGATCTGAGAGGGGCTTCTCAGGGGTCCCCGTTTTCCCTTCCACTTTGGAGAGTTCATAGCCTAGAGCAGTGGAGCAGGAGAGGGGGAGTGAGTGCCGGTCAGGCACAGATGGCAGAGGCCGACTGCCTGCTTCTGATCCGGGTCCTGCCCCCAGCTCTTTGACCACTGACTGGTAAGCGGCTCGTCTGCTCTTTGAGTGCCTCCTCATAAAGGACTTAGAATGGAACCTATTTCAGCAAATTACCAAAGGATGCCACATGCCAAATGCCATCGCCTGTGAAGCACAGTAGGGGGCACTGTGCACTGTGATGAGTAGCTAATAGAAAGGCGCTGAAGGGTGGGGTGTGTGGAGAAATAGCTTGTGGGAGGAAAAGTGCCCCTCTTCCTTTGTCATCCCAGACTCCCCACTGTGTCTGGAGACAGAGAAGCAGGGGCAATGCCCCACCTGTGCTCCAGGCCTCAGGATGCCTGAGTTCTTAGCTCTGTCATTCTCCCTTGCTGTCACCTTGGAGTCAGCTGCTCTGTGTGGCTGTGAGGGGCCAGAGAGCAAGAGCAGCAAAGTGCATGCCCAGCCGGAGGGCCCTTCCTCACAGCCAGTGACTGCTCAGGTGCGCAGCTCGGCACTGGGGCCGTGCGAGGGGCAGGTGAACCCAGAGGTGGCTCTGCTGGACTCTGGCAGGCCAGTTCCAGGGAGGCCTGCAGAGCCAAGCAGTTTCCCACCCTTGCACAAGATGTTCCTTCTCCCTGTCAGGGCACTGCAATGCCCCTACCACCTTGAAGAGCTACAACCTCCTTCCGGTGTCTCCTGTGGCCTCCCCTGCAACCTAAACTGGTTGGTTACACCAAAGACAAGCCCTTTCAAACATATTTGACTTGGGGAGTCCACAGTGTAGGCATAGTCCTAATAGCAGCTAGAGGCTTCAGCTCTGCTATACGGGACTCCTAGCCCCTCCCCAGTGAACACCCCCTGCCCTGTGAGCTGCCTGAAATGGTCCTTTGGGGCCTGGCAGGGCAGAGCTGACCACCACCTCCTGTCTTCATTCAGGTCTGAGCTCAGAGCCTAGTCCGGATTTAGTTTTAGTGTCTACCTGCTCGCCAGGCTCAGCTGCCTGGAGAGGCGACTCATCTTGGCATCATTTTATCAACAGCGCTTCTCAACATGACTGACCTTGAATGAGTCAAGTCTCAGCCAATCAGCTAAAACTCCCTGACTCCCAGGGTCAGAGCGCTTTTGGAAAACAGATTTCTGAAAGGGTGGTTACTCCAGGGATTCTGAGGTGAATAGAGGCAGGGCAAGACACTGGAAAGGAGAAAGGGATTCAGAGTTGGGGGGCACTGAAGTATGTATGTGACAGAGGTGGGGCCCCTCGTCTTTAGGTTGACCTGACTGAATACGAGGAGCAGGGGACAAATCCCTGTGTGTGGTGCTGACATCTGCAAGTAAGCCCTCAACACCTAGTGTCTGCAGAGCCTGAGGGACGACTGGGGAAAACCTTGGTCCTGACCAGGAACGTGTACTGCAGCACACAGTACCAATGGGTGTGAGACAGGGGCCCCTGCAGCTTTGGCCCATGGCCTGGCCAGGAGCAGATGAGTCAGATGAGGGTAAGCTGGGTGGTGCTTAGAACTGTGGCCAAGGAAGGGTGGGGGCTGAGGCCCAGCTGCTCCAGACGAGCAGGGCCATCACCCTGAAAGACGAGAACCTTGGCAGACTCCCATCTTGTCTGGCCAGCTCCCCTACAAAGCCAAGTCTCAGAATCACAGGCACCCGGCACGTCTGAGGCCTGGGCCTGGGAGCACGCGCCACCAGCCGCTAGAGAGCTGGCACAGGTACTCACTGAATTCAATCAGCAGCTTGCCATAGCCCCGGCGCTGGTAGGGAGGCAGGGTCAGGATGCAGGCCACATTGTAGTCCTCGGTGGACTCCTTTTCCTAGAGGGGAGGGGCAGTGAGTTTGGAACAGGAGCTGGCTCAGCGGGATGGCACAGCCAGATGAGCACTGACCTTGGAGAAGTAGCCCACGATGTGGAAGCCCTTGCTGTCATACTCCGTCATGACATAGAAGAGGAAGGGGTCGGTGTCGTAGTACAACGTCTTGTGATCAAGGAAACACTTAGCCAAAAGACACAGATTCTGGGAGTAACTCTGCAAAGGAAAGACCACTCTGAGCAACTGCCCTTGGTCCCCCCCGCCAGGCCCACACTCAAGCTGTGCCAGTCCTGTGACGGTGCTCCAGCCCGTGGCCCCCTGGTCAGCTGGGCAGGTCCTCCTGCTCTCCACAGCTCCACGCAGTCCTGACCAGCACCCCCCCCACACCCCTCTGGTCAGTTTAACAAGTCAAACTGAGATGGCCTCCACGAAGTTAGACTCTGGCCCAGGCTTGTGAGAAGCTGTGGCCTCTGCTTGGGTGACACCTGAGGAGTCCATGTGTCCCATCCCCACCCCACCCCACCCCAAGCCCAGCCCCACTTCCTGGCAGTTGAGCTGTTGTGGTTAAGTTTGAATGTCAACTTGGCTGGGTCTGGTTAAGTGGCTAGGCAGCTGGATATACTATTCCCCATGATGAGACTGGTAATCAACTCCATGGTGGGATCTACTGTGAGCAGCTGAGTAGCTCTGCCTTTGGGTATGTGGTCTGCTTTGTGTGTAAGAAACAGCTTTGGGAAGGGTCTCCAGCTTATGGCATGCCTGAACCCTGCATGGAGCCATGTTGTTCAACAGCTTGCCATCCTCGGCCGACCTTGGGACTTTCAATGAACTTGAATTAATGGCCTGCCGGTGGTTTGTTAACATCAGGACTGTGCCATTTTACCGGTCAACCTTGGCTTCTTAGCCTCAGCAGCCAGTAGCTGCCTGAGTAAAGAGATGCCTCTAGCTTCAGTGGGCCAGGAGCAAGAGGCAGAGCTGAAGCCCAAGGTCGAGGGGCTTTCACCCAGACCCAAGAGCCTGGCACTTTGAACTCGGACTTCTAGCCTCCGAACTGTAAGAGAATAAACTCCTGTTTGTGAAGGCCGTCCCATTGGTGGTATTTCTGTTAGAGTGAGACTAGGGAAGCAGAACAGCTGTCATCTACAATAGGAGTAACACATTCTGGAATTCAAGACAGCAGCCTGAGGAGAGCCCCCAGCACTCGCTACTTTACCTCCGCACACAATTTCTCCTGCGCTTCCCACACGTTTTTTTTTCAATCACCTGACGGATCCAAGCTCACCCTCACTACCACAGAACAGTGGTAAATACGCATCTTGCTCTCAGGCTGCCCCTCACCCCAGCCTGAACGTCAACCTGCTATTCAAGGCACCTGCCTCTGCCCACCCCCCTCTAGGCCTGGGAAGGGGGTGGTCTCAATGGTGTCCAACTTACCCCCTCCTTCTGCCCCACAGCCACAGACTGGCAGATTTGCATCCCAAAACCTGCAATGCTCATGCTTCACCCCTACTGACCTCGTTCCTGTCCCCTGCTCTCTGTCCCTTCTAACAGCCTTGTACCACCCTAGCTTCCCTGCCTTTCAACCTCCCACACCCCATCTCTGTACAGCCAGGCCTGCCCTTCAGCGTCACATTGCTCAGAATTCCCTCATGTCAAAAGTTGCCTCCTTAGGGTCCTGATAACCCACCCTCTGACTCACGACACTTGTCACTCTGGGATGTAAGAGACCGTTGACCTGTCTGTCTCTCCTGTGGACTCTGGGCTCCCAGAGAACAGAGACCTTATTTAGGTCCTGCTTATTCTTTGACCTCTCAGCACCTGTCCTGAGTAGATACTCAATTCAAATAAGCTGAACTGATGCGCTGGCCAGACTGGTCAATGTTTTCCCGAGCAGGAAGAAGCTGCTTGTCTGCCCAGGCCCCCAGCCCCGAGGATGCCCTGCTACCCCTCAGCCACTGACCTTGTTCTTACGGCCATCAATCTCAAAGAAGGAGATGGTGCCCTTGCGGTATATCTCATTGCCTGGAGGATGTCGCAGGTCACACTTGGTCTGGGGAGGAGAGGAAGGTTAGGGGCAGAGGCGGGCGCGGGAGGGGGTGCTGGCAGAGCAGCTTCCTGGGGGCCCTCGTACCAAGTGACGCTGTAGACACTTGAGGCTGCGGCCGTATTTGAGGCAGAACTCGCAGAGGTAGAGGACAGGCAGGGTGGTGAGCTCCTGCGGGTACGGGGAGAAGTACCACGGCTTGAGGCGGTGCCGGCCCAGCTCGATACACTCAATGTTTTTCATCCGGGTGACGATGTCGTCGTGGCTCCGGTCGGACACGAGGCTGCCAGTCATGCGTGGCGCTGATGGGATTCCATCTGAACTATCCTGGGAGTCCTGGCCAGGGCCAGGAGAAGACACCAGGTTATAGAAATAACTCAAGCAGAAAACCGCAACTTACACAAACAACACAGTGGAGGCACCCTCTGCATTTTAGAGAAAGAAACTAACACAGAGTTCACCAAACAACTGGCCTGAAACACGCTCTACCTGGCTCCTGACCCCCAAACGATACTGTCTACCGTCCCCCCCGCTTCTTTTTAAACAAAGCACTACCCTCCCCGCTTCCCGCATGCTCTTTTCCCAACCCCCACTCCCCGCTGTCCTTTTTCCTGCTCCCTGGACCCACCTCATCAGTGCCCAAGCAATTCGATTTCCTCTTCCGACCTGGCTGAGCAGCCACTGCCCTACGGGCTGATCCATTCTGCGGGTATGATGGTAGGGAGAGAAGGAGTGGCTGTGAGATGGGCCTATGACGGTTGCCAAAGAATACGAGAGAGGAAGGGAAGAACAGATGGTCAGGGGTACTCACCTGGGGAAAAACTGAAGCCGGGACTGTCTCGCTGGGCACCGGAGTTGCTGGTGAAACCACCTCCACCTTCCGTTTCTGCAGAGAGAAACCAACAAAGTTGGGTCAGAAGGTAGAGAAGGTGGGACCTGAGAGAAAAGCAAGGTCCCTGGAATTGCTGAGGGTACCGTTGAGCGGTGGTTGGGCTGCAGGCAGGAGCTGGAGGAGAGCGGCTGGTCGGGCTCGCCACCGGGGATGGCCTCCCGCTCCTTGGGCAGGTTGAAGCGGAGTGTGATCTGGACCGGGATTGGCAAGGTCTTCCCGCTGGCCTGGGCGGAGGCCGGCTGTAGAGATAGGTCCAGGGTCTTCTTCTGGGGTGGCATGGTGGTGGGATGGGGCAGGGGACATGGGGCCCTCAACACCAAGTGATCAAACTCCACCCTCTGCCCTCTGAAGGACAAAGGAACCACCACTGGATTCTGGAAGCTATGTTTGCAATGTGGTCCCCCCCATTCTTTGCAGGCTGAAGCTAGGGTGGGAGGTTCACTGCCTCCTGCCCATCCAAGAAGCCCTGAGGCTGAGAGAAGAGATGTAGGAGGCAGAAGAGAATAGAAGTGGGCGACCTACTCACCACCTCTCTCTCTGGAGAGCCGGGACGGGACCCAGGAAGCCCGTTCTTGGTGGGGGTCTTGGCCTCTTTCTTGGGAAACTGGATCTTCTTTAAGTCCAGCCGTTCGTGGGTCACCCATTCATCCAGGCGCTTATTGACTGCAGCAGTGGGGATGGCTCAGGAACGGTTGCCAGAGGCTGCCCCCACCCCTACCCCGCAGCCCCACCTCACCCCGCTCCAAAACTCACAGTCAATGTAATGGACATAAAAGAGCTTCCGGCCACTGATGTCCTTCACGCTGAGGATCTCGGCCAGGGCTGTGAGAGGAGCACAGGTACCTTAGCCCGGCCAGGCCACGAAGCTCCACCCTCCCACAACCTGAACTCCACCCTCAGTCCGGATCCCTGAGCTCCAGCGCCAAAAAGCTCCCGCGCAAGCCCCCTTTAGTCTTCAAACGGCACCCCCTCTCCAAGCCCCGCCCGGTCCATCGCCAGCAGCTACACACCACGCCCCTCCTTCGGAGTGCCTGCGCCCCACCAGCCCCGGATTCCAGAGGCCCCTCCCCCTCCCGGGGGGTTCGGTCGATCCGACCCGCCCCTCGCCCTCAGGTTCTTTAACCCCGCCTCCCGACGTCACTCACGCCACTCATCCTCGTTGTCCTGGTTCCGCCGCAGGACGGGCAGGCGGCAGCCCTCGATTATCTCCCCCTGGGGAGACAGCGCGGCGCCAGGGTCGGCTACTGGGGGGCCTCGGGCTCTACCCACCTCCCCTGGCTCCCTCCGCCCCGCCCCGGGCACCGGACTCACCACCTCCGCCATCTTCCCTCCCTCCACTGCCACTTCCGGCTCCTTTGGGCAGCGTCACTTCCGGTACTGAGGGCGCTGCAGGCCCGGACCTCGCGAAGCCGCTTCAGAAGCGGGACCCTTGAGAGATGCCACCGCCCTGCTGGAAGAGGGGAGCCGGCCCGTTTGGCTGGCGGGAGAACAGGGCTTTCTAAGCCTTGGGCCAGGTCCTCGGTGGAATCTCCATCCTGTGCCCAACGATTGGAGGAAAATTGAGTCAGTCACGTGACGCCCACCGGGTGCGACGCCAGTCACGTGGGTTCGGCGCGGTCACGTGGGACGACTGTTAGGGATTTCGACCCGCGGCGGTGCGCGGGCGTGTCCTTGCGGCAGCAGGACGGGTCGCGGACAGTAAACAGCGCGTGCCCGGCGCGGGGGCGGGAACGGCGGGGCGGGTCTGGGGAACCGAAAGTAGTTTGGGAGGCGGGAGAAGTGGCTGGGGCTCACACAGTGCATTGCTTGAATACCGGCCAAGTTCATGGACCACATCTCTTAGGGATGGGACTAAGATTTCTAACTTTGTTGTTTTGTAAATTAGTTTCGTTCCGATTTTTTTAAATAATACACGTATTATCCTTTCATATATTCAACAAATACTTCGTGAACCCTGCCATGTGCTAGGCACTATTCTGGGAACTTGATCAGGGAACAAAAGACCCCTGCCCTCGTGGAGCTTAGTTCTTGGGGGCTAAGAAGGAAAAGGGGAGCTCTGGTAGCATAGTGGCTAAGGCACTTGACTGCTAACCAGACGGCTGGCGGTTCAAACCCACTAGCCACTCCTCGGAAGGAAGGTTGAGTCAGGTCTGACTTGACGGCACATAACAACAACAACAACAAAGAAGGAAAAGAGTGGTATAGATAGTATGTGATAGACACAGTGTGGAAAGTGAATTAGTGGGTATATAATGGAAAATATTCAATGAGCAGAATAAATGGGTACCAGGTGGGTAGACCAAAATACCAAACCCACTGCCGTGGAGTCGTATCCGACTCATAGTGACCCCTCCTTGGGTTTCCAAGGTAGTTTCACTACAGAACTAAATTGCCCAACCTTCCCCCCCTAGGAGTGGCTGGTGGGTTTGAACCGCCAGCCTTCTGGTTAGCAGTCAGATAGATGCCTTAGGCACTGTGCTTCCGGAGCGCCTTCAAGATGAGTAGGCAGGTTGTAATTTTAAATATAGTGCGCAGGGCAGGCCTGGCTGTAAATGTATTATTTGAGCAAAGATTTAAGGGAGTGATACCTGTGCAGGTATTTTGGGGAAAAGTGTTTTTTTTAAAAAAAGAAAGACAGTAGGAGCGGGGGAGTAGTACATCCTTGCTAACAACCAGCATTTTGGTTGAATAGCATCTAGACCAGGGGTTGACCAGCTGCGACAAACCCAGTCCACCTACAACCCAGGGGTTAAAAATTATTTTTACATTTTCAAACGTCTGAGGGACAAAAAGTATTTTGTTACATGTGACAATTACGTGACTTTCAAGTGTCTGTATCCATAAATACAGTTTTACTGGAAGTCACTCCTGCATTTGTTTACATATTGCCTGTTGCCTATCATTTTTTGAACACTACAGCTGAGTAGTTGCATCACAAATGGTATAGCCCACAAAACTGAAAACACTACCAAGCCCTTTAGGAGCTCTGGTAGCCTAGTGCCTAAAGCACTTGACTGCTAACCAGAAGGCTGGCGGTTCAAACCCACCAGCCACTCCTTGGAAGGAAGATTGGGCAAACTACTTCTGTAAAGATACTGCCTTGGAATGTACCAAATGTGAGTGACCAATATGGCAGCATTGAGGATGAGAAAGACATAGAGAG